AGCAGTTTCAACACCCAGCAGAACAGCAATTTCTACACCTCCCAAGTCAATAATCTAGCCAACCCTGGCAGCATGGCAGAGTCTATTCTTCCTGTGCCACGGGACAGGGCACCTGCACAGGTGCAGCAATGCCCCTTCCTTCCAGACTGATGAGCCATAAGAGAGTGATGATGCAGCAGCACCCCTACCTCCACTCTGTGCCAATGCTTGGTGCAATGACAGCCATCTGGCAGCAGCTCTCCTTGTGCTGGTGATTGGTATTAATGGGGGGGAGGGTCCATTTACTCCCCTTAGTTCCAGTCTTAGAAAATATTTCTGGTGATGCACTGAAATGTGAGTGGCTGGAGAGTCGGACTGCTGTTAGAGACTAGCCACAGAGCTTAACTCCCCTCCTGGAAGGACAGGAGAGGTGCGCCACCACTCCACATCACCACCTCTTGCAGTAGAGGGTAAAACCGATTGAGGCTGCTGGGAAAACCGACATCACTGCCACCACCTAAAAACATCCTCAGCTGTTCCCTTCTCTGCATTCACAGTATTCCAGCGGCACTGTGCCAGCTACTCTGGCCATTCTTGGGGTTCATACCTCATCACAGGGTACTCAGGTTTCCCGGCAGAGGACCTATGCTCACCTCACAAAGTGGTTTGATTAGGGGGCCTCCAGCCCAAGGCTGCCGGGGAGCCAGACAGGACTGCAGCTCAGGTTTCACCCACCAGCCCCACACCATGCTGCCTGAGAGTCATGGGCGCCTAAGGAAAACAGCTGGGAGACAGGGCTGATACTGGGGAAAAGAAAAACCAAAGCCAGGCCAGGAGAAACCTTGGAGCTTCTCTCTCTGTAGGAGAGATGGCAAATCAGAAGTAGGATGGAACAGTGCAAACAAGCACCAAGGAGAGCAGCCAAATCCCTGCCTCCCGTGCAGAAGGCACTGCCACTGGGAAAGCAACCAGCTGCTCCTTGACAGATATCCACCTTCCTGGACTGGGGGTGGCAGTCAGCAGAAGAAAGGGGGGAGCTCCTAGGAGAAGAGGATTTGGCAGATTAAGGGGAGCACGGAGCCTGGTAGAACCAGTAGCCTAAGGACAGCAGGTGACAATAGGGTAGGTGAAGTGGCTTGGGGGAAGGTTGCTTTCAAATACAGCTACACACCCCAGACCCATCTGCTACCCACCCCCCAAAAATCTCCCCCTTCTCCCATCCTATAGCCCACAGTCCTATAGTGTAACCGGACAGGTTCGGGAGACAGTGGGGATGAGGGAGAGTCCTGGCGGGAGTTTGGGGTCTGCAAGGGGCTTGGGCAATGCAAAGGGGGTAGCAGTGGGGGCTGGGGCAGCTAGAGCAGAAGAGGCTTGGGGGGGAGGAGGCCGGGGGTGGGGTTCAGGGGCCGCAGAGCGGGGGGAGAGGGCAACGCGAGGGAGGGGGGCA